ACCGGGATTACTGAGAGAATATTTATGACCAAACCGCTCCGGCGACGTGGTTTCGGGGTCCGGGATGTTAGACAGACCATCAAAGAGACCCGGCAACTGAAGACCGCCTTCGCCATACCCTTCGTCGCTGAAGAGGAGCCCTTCTTCGTGGTCACCGCTTTGTGCTGAACCACGCTTCCGCGTGGTGATGAACGAGTCGGCGTCGATGTCATCGTCTGACGACAAGTAGTCGTCAATGTTGAACGCATCTCCAAGCTTTGCCGGGGTAATTGGAGAGGGCAAGGCACTCTCCAGTGCTGTGCAGAACGATGCATGGTCACCTGTACCGCTGTGTAAGGAGCTGCAGCTGTCATTGAGGAAGGACGACATGGTAGCCAGATCTACCGTCGTCGTTGTCGTGTGTCGGGAATGAGGTCGTTGAAAGGAGCTGGTGCTCGACATCGTGGGGGTCGCCGACGAAATCGACCAGTGCCGAAGGCTACTCGTCCGCATGGGCACGTGTTCGTAGATCTCATCCAGCTTGCCCTTTCCAAATGGTACTCCGTTACTCTTGGATCGTGAGTAAGAATCATCCTGGGCTTCACGCCACGAGTGGCCACTTCTCATCACATCTGTCAAGCAAGTCATGTTAGCAAAGGGTTCCGGGAGTAAATAATAGCAGACAGTAGAGAAATCGACGGTAAAAACTAACGAGGTGAAGGCGCCGGTGAGGACACATCCGCAGAATCAACAAAGCTCTCAACCTCAACTCGACCGACCCATCCTCTTGTGCCGGGCTGTCCATCGGGCTTCGCATTCCGCGGCCACTCGGTAGGACGAGTAGATGCTGCAGCACCGCCTATCGCGGAGAGGGTGTGCCGTTTGGATGGTGACTTCTGGGTTGGGGAGGAGAATGTGGGACTGGCTACTGACCCTCCGCGGGATGGCGGCCTCACCGCCTGGTATGATTCAGTGTGGATAAGACCTGACGAAGTCTTTGGTCGTTGCTGGACCGGTAACGAGTAGTTGTGCTTGACCAAGTACGTTGGCTTTTGGGTCGTCTTTGGTGACATCGATGGGTCAAGATGCCCTCTCCCAGATGTAAAGATACCCAATTCGTTCAGGGGAGCTTCGCCTCCGAGAGTAGATCGCCTCTTGTGCTTTCGACCATTTGGGGATCCAGAAGCATCCGCTGTCGACTTTCTAAGACTCAGCGTTCTACCGTTTGTTGCATTCGATGGCGTCGTAGGAATGTAAGCACCTAGCGATTGCCTTCGACGGCCACGAATCGTCTCCGAAACAGACTCCATGATTGGCTCGCGGTCAAGGGAGCCTTCAAGATTGAAAATGTTAGTTCGGAATGGTACCTGGCCGAGGCTCGCCGATGTCAGAGACTTCGTGCGAGCCTCGTTGTCCAGTGAATCGTGGCGTCGGGGGGGCTTGAACGTTTGTTCTTTGTCTCCGAATTGGGCTCTTGCTGGAACCGCAAACGCGCCGTTGTGTCGATCCCGCGGACTACCACCGTTTGTTGCGTAAAATGCTTGAACTTTGTCGGATTCAAGGTCTACTCCATTCTCGCCAATGTTGCGGTCAGCAACATCTTCTCCGTAATCCCGAGCGCCCGATGCCTTCACTCGACTCTGAAATCCCGAAGGCTTGATCTCGGATTGTGCATCCAGCAGATCAATGAAGCCTCTGACTGCGGCTGTGCTTGTACTTTGCATGGAAAGGTGGCGGTTATGGGTGAAGGGAGCAGTTGGTGGGCGAAACGGATCTCCCTCGAACGGTATTGCTGTAGAGTTGCTGCTTCGTTTTGGAGCGGGAGATAATCCCGATAGACCAGACGTCGTCGATGTAAGTGACCCGATTCGTGGTTTCCTAAACGACAAAGGCGGACCCCTCGATGAGTCTCTCCCCCAGCGGCCGGACGGAGACGGTGAAAAGCTGGGAGGTACAGCGCTGCCCGGCGCAGAACTCGGGCGCTCGACGCTGGAATCACGGAATCGCAAGACGGGCGGTGCCGGGGCAGAAGCTTCGGAACCCGCTGCAAGAGACAAGTTGGTTTCGCTCATCTTATGATGAGACCGTTGAAGGTCCTCGAAGACATTGGTTGGTCCATTGCCGGCAACCGGGTAGGTACCTAGGGATTCATGTAAGTTTAGACTACGAAGTTGGGCTGAGTATTGGATCAATCCTACCTAGAAGCGGGGGAAGAGAAGCTGTCGTAGCATCGTATGCTTGCGCCTTGATACCGTTTGATGACTTGTCAGATGACCTTTTGGACGAGAAGAATTTCAAGAAGCCCATTGTCGCAGCCTTTTGCCCTCCATATGGCGACTACACGAGACGACTAGGATGCTGTGAACTGACAGCAGACTCAAGGTTGCTTCCGGTCGAAAGCGATGTTGAAGGCGAAATTCAAAGGCTGGAAGACAGTTGAGCACCGAGAGCGCGAGGCCTCATCGCATGTAGGATTGCGATGTGAAAAAACACTGGAACAGACGACGACGAGAAGAAGGAAGGGGGTACCAGGAGAAGGGGGAGAGGGAAGTCTAAAAGCCGAGCGGGTAGGCTGGATAGCATCAGATCCTAGAACCTAGGTGGACTAAAGAAAAAGGAAAGGAGGGACTATGCGACACGACGAGTCGTGTAAGGGTGCTAAGGCTGAAGTGCGTGCATATACATGACGGAGCGGAGCGAATGAGCAGAAAATAGTCTACGCTAGACCGTGTTTTGGGCCCAGGTCGAAGGCTTCGTGCAGTTAAACGATGCGATACCCATGTCCCCGAGCGTGGCTGCTCCGAGTTGCATGGTGTGATGGAGCACACACACCCGCGGGAGAGCCATGGTTTCCGTCAAAGGCCAAGCATCGATACATTGAGATTTTTTCCCTTCTGAAGAGCCGGAATGTCCAAAGGCCAGATCGCTGCCCACCCACAATTCGTTACATCAACGGGTGGCTACTTTCTGCCCATCTTAGAAGACGAAGTCTGTCCTCAATACACAACGTGTGAAGAGAAAGACTATACTTTAGAAAGCGTCGCAGATAACCAGAGTTCCAAGTTGCCTACTCTTGGGCGGAGCAGGGGAAGCTTCAATCAGATGCTGATTTCCACATGTCCGAATCATCTGTTTGTCTTGGAATACAAACAGGCTTCTGAGCGCCTTGAGGAATGGCGCAGGAGTGGCAAAGAAGCTTAGAACAGGCTTGTTGGTGTGGTGTGGTGGTGACAAGACTCGTTGCTCGGACGAAATGGCGCATCAAGGTTTCGAAAACAGGTAAGCAGACGGATAGATGGTCGGATGGGAGGGTATGGGATGGACCGCGGCCCGTGCGAAAGTGACAACAAAGGTGTGAAGAGCACGAAACGGCTTACAAGCCTGTTTCATGGTCTAGTTCTCTGTAGTATCTCAGGACCTCCGGCCGTTGGTGTTGCTGTCCGGCTCGAGTGCAAGTGGATGAGGTCTCTCGTTCCCACGCTTCTCGGTGAACTTCTGCTGGGGCACCACGATTGCCAAACCGAAAACCCAAGGCAATCTATCCATCAAAACAGCCTGATTGGTCTCGGCCTGTCGGTACCAAGGTATCGAAGTCGAGGTTGTGCCTGGGTTTCGAGGTTAATTGCTAACCCGGAGGATTGGAGGAGATTCCAGATCTTGATAGCTGTTGCAAGCGCAAACAAGCATGGATCTGTTCCAAAGGACGACGATGCGCCTCCACGATGCTGGTCACTCTGCCGATCCGAGAAAGAAGAAAACATGGCACTGGGTTCAGGGGTCAGACGTCGTAATTGGTGCCACCTCGGAGAAAAAGCAATCGACGAGGGTTGGAAAGAAGCCCATTTGCCAGCTGCTTTTATTGGCAGCACCAGGTGACTGGTCTGAGGACTAGCCATCTTAGTGTGTCCCAGGAACAAAGTCAAAGAATTCCTGTTGGACAACGCCAGTCGGTAGCGTATGGCTTTACTCCGTTGGTCTTGGAAAAACCGGACTTCGTCGAAGTGGAGACGACGTTTGGAATGCCTATCGAACCTAGTGGTCGTGGTCAACGGCGCAGACGGATGGGTGTTTGTTCTTGGTAGTCGTGAGGTATTAGTCGTCGACCGGCAGTGGCATCAAAGCAGGCGTCGTCCCGCCAAACGGCGCGTATCGAACCATGTTGACGACACGTTTCTCCGCTCATCTGTTTTGAAGCGTCGTCTGCCTGCATCTTGCATTGTGTCCATCTTGCTTGCGTATTTTCCATGAGCGTGCCTGTGCATGGCCCTGGATTGATCATGGTTGAGGGTCCCCGGCCCCTGGTGTAGATGTGCGTGTGTGCGAGACATCTTTTCTGCGCCCCCTGCTGATTGGAGGCGGGCGGAAGCAGATCACTCAGGGATTCGCCCCTGGTGTTGTTCCTCGAATGTGTTGGCCGCGATTCGATGGAACTGAAATGACGCATCGAAAGTCAATTATCAATCTTGGAGGCTGGCGTGTGTGCCGCGTCAAATTGCTCCAAGCTGGCAAGCCCAACAAGTCAATAAGCATAAGGCAAGGCAAGGGAGTGCGGCCGAGTCAACAAGATGTCATGCGTATGGTTGCTCAGGTCGCCACAATGGTGGAAAAGCATCGAGTCTCCGGCGCTAGCTGCGGTGTTGCTCAATGAATGCAGGGTCTGCCACCTCAGTACAGTGTGCGGTGTGCGGTGTGAGGTTTGCTAGTCCCAGCTGAACGGACTGCGAACGAAGTTGCCCAGAACGACTCTATTCTTGGTGGTGGCGGAAAAATGGTATAATCTCGAGGCATTGCTTCGTGTGACGGATGTTGGAGACGTAAACAATTCCTTCGATGTTGGTAGTTAATGGATCAATTGATTTTTGATGGAAATTCCGCCGTGTTACAGGAAAGAGTCGGCGAACCCCAAAGTACCCGTTAGTCGTGGCCCGTCACTCTTGAGTCTGAGTCCGGGAAGTCAGGTACCGCGTCACACCTGCCACATAGTCTGCTTAGTCACTTGTATTGGATTAGGTACTTTGTAGATGTTCTGGACGCCTCGCAGCTGCCGATATTTCTTTTCCGTCGCCAATCTTTGCTTCTCCCTTCTGCAAAGGACCATTTCCACGAATCAACCGGAAACGAGATTGTGTGAGCATCATCACGTCAAAGTATCGACGCGTCAACTTTTCAGCTGTGTTAGAGAATGTGACAGAAAACAGCCACTCTCAATGTTGCGGCCGGATGCATGATGGCGACGGACACCGCAGTGGGAAACGGCGATTACCGGCAGCAATGCCGCAATCTGCTGCTTGGCTTCACAAACGAACAGAACCCGGCCCATCCTTCTTTTCTGTCTTCTCTCTCTAGTTCGGTGCGTGAGCGTCCCATTTGCGCTTTCCTTACAATGACAGGGTGAGCTGGGCACCATAACACGTTAATTTACCGAAGTTGCTCACCGGCGAACGGCAAGCGCCTCTATTCAGGGGGAGGCATCTAGCTCGTATCCGCAGAGTGGTGGATTGTTTGCTATATATGGGCAAGCTCTCAGCGTTTCATACCGCGCGATCTGGCTAGCCTTCTAGCGGCGATCGGCCACCACGTGGAACACGGTGGTTTCTATGGATCGTTTTATCCTAACTCTCCCAATTTGCTCCCGATATTACCATCATAGGCCTTTCAACTCCAACTTGCGCTTTCAAGTGAGCGATAGCTTCAAAAATGCATCCAGAACTCCGAGGGGTTGCCGTCATGCAGCAGAGTGGTTCCAGAAGCGTTATACTGGAACCCGTTCAGCTTGCTTCTCCATACCAACCTCAATCATGGTCTGATTTCCAGACTTACGGCCGCACCCAAGCACAGGCGGGGTACCCCGTTCAGGGGAAAGGATCTTCCACCACCCCTCGCGTTCACAAATGAAGGGTCCAGGAAGAGGCAAGGCCAGCGACACTACCAGGACGCCGTCACGCCGTCTGGTATGCCCATTCCTTTTGTGGGCGGGAGACCCGCAGTCCGGCGCAACTCTCCCAGATTCAAGCACGTCGGCCCCCGGCGCCGCTCGGACGGTGCACCGTGCTTCCCATTCGACGTCCGAACGTTGAACACTGCAGAGCCCGAGGTCCGAGCGGGCATGTCAGACTGTGGATGGTGCTGGTGCTGAGGTGGTGGTGTTCCGGCGGTCCGTCCGACCTTTCGGGGCTTGGGGAGCCTCAAAATCACAGAAGCCTTGCGCGGAGAAGCGAGGGAAACAAGCCTCCGGATGAAACCCACGTTGTTCGATCACTGCTGTTGCAGATATAGTACGAGCTTCCAACCCCGAGAAACTGGATGAATCCTTCGAATCCTCGATATATGGCACAATGAATACGGTGGGAGCCGGAGTTGCCAAGAATGATTCAACTGCTGCAGACAAGTGTCGTGGCGCCGCCTCATCTCTCGCTGCCGGTGTCATCACACGCACTATACCCAATTCTTCAAAGACTACCTCCAAGTGCCTCAGGGGAAGTCAGTCTTGAGGTTATCATTGGGTACAGGTCTACACACCATCAACTATCACTAGGCACTGGTTTGAGGCTTTCCCCGGAGTCTTATCAAGATGGCTTCCACGAGTGAATCAAGTCGGAGTGTCAAAACTCAGAGGGGGCCTTCTATCCGTGACTAGCTCGAACACGAGGGGTCTTATGACATCTCGTAGGTTCCGGTTGCCGATCGCAAAGAGCATACTTCGATTGACTAAGTAAGTACTTAAGATTGACATTTCAGGTAAGCCTAAGTAAGCAGATCATGCAACGGTTACGGTGATTGGGCTGTGGACTTGATAACAATCTCAACATAAGTACCGTGACAAATTAAAGAGGGCATAAATCTCCGTTGCGTATGGTACGTGATCGAACTGGCAGAGGCAAGAGACCTGTGACTCTACCTTTGCAATTCGCAGTTGCCTACCAGTGAGGTCGTGTAGGCACTTGATGGGAGAGAAAATGAGGGGAGGCGCCTTCTCCCTAGTTTTTGAGGCGTCTTTCAATGAAGGAGCGAGGCAACCCGGACCTTCCATGATGTAAATGAAGTCCAACGAGAAGGCACACACACCTTGGGAGACCTCTTTGTGACTACTACCAACACGAAGCATCCTCGTCTAATACCATCTCCATCTTCATCGTACAATCACCACCACCTCTTAGCTCATGATAATTGCGATTCAAATCACCACACGCCTCACCTCCTCAGCATCTTCACCTTCGATTCCCTGATCACATAGTACCCCTCCAAAAACTGTCCTAACTAGCTTGGCTGCCAGCATCCTGTCCTTGTCCCAACTATCCTCCAGGAACGATGCCAGACAACAACCAGCCCCAACAGCAGGCCGACACCAACCAGGGTTAGGTTCCCTTCTTCACCGAGCACGACGGCTCCCCCATCATCGAGGATACCAGAAAGAGCCCCCCGCTCAGTACCAAGTCTTCTCCTTCTTCCGCTTCTGACAAGCCCTTCGCCACGCCCAACGGGGATAATGCACTGCCCAAATACCTCACCTTGACTCATGATCTTCGTCATGCCGCGCAGGCGCAGGCACCAGAGACACCCAATGACCACAAATACGGAGAGCAGACGCCGGGAAACTGGCCTGATTTCGCTTCGGAGAGCATTCCACCGTCCGTCGGAGTCAAGTACTCTTCTACGTCAAAGGCAGTAGGGAAGGCAACGCCCACTACAACTGACAACCTCGCCGATTCTCACAGAAAGTCCAAGACGGAATTCAACTCGCTCCCTTCCGAGCTTCTTCACATGAGCCTCGGGCTTACCAGCGGGCCTGATACCGGAGCCCAGGCCCACAGAAAGTCGTCGACCGAGTTCAAGGAGGTTGTAGTAACGGAAGGCAAGTGCACTTTTCGCTATACATCGGTTTACCTAAGACTAACGTTGTCAATACAAACACCTAGACACGGAAGATCAGTCAGATATGCGAGAGGATGTTGGCCCGCTCGACTTCGATCTTCAGGAGCCCGCCAACACTCCTTCTGAGGGACGCAGAGACGAAGATAGAAGGACGACCGGCCAGTTGTGGAGGAAGCCTGAGTCACGGGACTCAGCGCAGCTTTGGAAGTCAAATAGTCGGTAGAAGTAGGCGTCGGTAGACTGACTTTAATGGAGCGGTCCATGGTGGTGGACACGATCGTGGAGATACACCTATGTAACGAGTAGTCATTCCTCTAGTCATTCTCTGAACACAGCAAAAGCTGAACCCTTCGTCCTCACATCTTCATCTCACTCCTCTAGATTGAACAGAGAATAATTGAACCACGCCCAACCTAAACGCCAAATAACATGCTATACCTGTTCCATCATCCAACCTCGACCTCTCAATCAAGAGACCCAGCCAACGCAACAGCACTAAACCGCAAATCCGCGCCCTCCCTCTCGAGGAACTTGCGCGGGCCCCACGTCAGCGCCTTCTCGCTCAACACATCCTCGCCGGACTCGAGCTGGCCGCGGTTCAGCGGGCCCTTGCGCCGCCCGTCGAGCTCCCACAGCGTGCCGTCGTCGCCGCGCACGAAGCAGACGTAGTGCAGGTCCACGTCGTCCGAGGCCTCGGGCGCCTCGGTCGCGCCCTGCGACGCGGCTTCGCGGTGCGCCGTGGCGAGGGCGGGCGTCTTCTCGAGGAGCTGGGCGCGGGAGGCGGGTTCGAGGGGCTCGGCTGTTTCGAGTAGGGTGTTGAGGTCGGATGGTTTCTCTGTTCATTCGTCAGAACCAACGTTGCATCACAACGAAGTAGCTTGTATAGGAAAGGCAGGAAAAGAAGGTATATGAAGAACGGCGTGACAGGAGGGTGACGAATACGTACGGATATACTCCCTCGCAGGCCCATTAGCAACAGCATGCAACAACCCCATGAGACCGCACGCATTCCTAATCGTCTGGCGGAACCACAAAACGGGCTCCTGCGGGCCTTTACCCTTGTACTCGTCCAGCAGGGCGTCCTCGGCCAGTCGATGGCTCTCGTAGGCGGCGCTGACGGGGAAGACGAGGAGGACGGCGAGGGCGGGGCGCGGGACGAAGGAGAGCATGTCCGGGTCGGTGAGGGAGTAGACGTCGTGGATCTGGAGGGCCGGGGAGAGGCCGAGCTTGTGGAGGAGGGAGGTCATGAGCTCCGGGTTGGCTTCGAGGGGGATGAAGGCCGGGGCTGCGGCGGAGGGGTCGGGGTTTGTGGATGTCATTCTGGAGGACTTGTGTTTTTGCTGTCTTGTTCCGCCCTGGTTGTTTGGTTTTCAGTGTTGGTTTGTAACGTGTGGGTGTGGTTTGTGAAAGAGATTTGACAGAGTGTTGCGTTTGCTTGGGTGATGTAGGATGAAGGGCGCGGGCCAGTTGGAGTTGCTGAGAAGACAAGCAAGGTAGAGCTGCCATGTCACTTTGCCCCTCCAAAAGCAACTGGGATACATGGTGGGGTCGGTGAGGTAACCGGCAGGGGTCGCCTGCGGTGAGCCCAGAATGCGGGGTGGTCAGTTTGGAGCTTGGGGTAGAGCGACGCCAGCCAAGGACTTTCTTATATTCAAAGTTTGACCACCTGCGAATGGTACAGTTTCTCTTTGAGATGTGTGGTAGGTATTTCTAGAATGCTATGATGTCTATCTTATATCTTCTTCTGGATTATATCCTGTTCCTACTCCTTTCGTGATGTCTGTGTTATAGTATACAAGGCCCCAAGCAAGCCTCCTTACTCATGCCTTTCGATATGCTTTGCCTGTGCCACCAGACAGAATATTGTACAAGTGAGTGTAGCTACAAGACTACATCGTTTTACATAAGCCGAAGCTCCCAAAGCTCCTTTTCAGCCTCCAGTCTGAGACTGTCCTATTAGACGGCAGACTCTTCTTTCGGCTTCTCCTCGTTGTCTTTCAGCCCAGCCTCATAATCACTCTCATCCACCACCAGAGGCTCATCGAGCCCCGCAGAGCTCTGGTCAAAAACGATAGAGTCGTCCTCGGAAGGCGCGATACCAGCGAGCTTCTCTGCACTACTTTCGTCTTCCTCTTCTTGGAGTCTGCGTAGCTCCACCTCCATTTCCGCCTTCATATCCTTGGCCCTCGCCTCCCTGCGTCGCTTCTCACGGACCTTGGTGTGTACCTCAGGATCGAAGACGGCGTTGGTCTCGAGGTAGAACTCAATCTTCTCCTCGACGGCGTCCTTGACGTGGAACGCGAGCGCCTGACTCGTGAAGATGTTGGGGAAGCGGTAGCTCACCCACAAGTACAAGGTGATGGCCGCGTGCAGGGACTCGATGGCATGAAGGTACCGCCTTCCCTGATTGTTGAAGTCTTCGAGCGTGGCGTCAAGCAGCTCCAGCTGGATGGGCTGGATATCGTATAGGGCGCCGTTGCTCCTCGTCGAGATGCACTTGGCAATGGCCTTGAGAAGGTCCATCTGTCCCTGCTCCCGAAGTGAGATTGGCGCGTGAAGAACGGTGATGCGGTCCTGAATCGTCAAGGGGAACTCCTGGATGGTGTCTGCAATCTTGGCGCTGATTTCAGGAACATAGACCGTGAAGCGCTCCGAGACGGGCGCGAGTTCGCGCAATCGCAAGAGGATAAAGCTGAGAGGCGTATCGGGAGGGAAGTATTCGGCGAACTGCTCGATAATGTGCGATGGGGGGTGAATACCTGCAGCCTCGAGCGGTGCCGTTTCAGTGTTGAATCCCTTTGCGATCGCGGGCAGATCCTCGTCAGCAAGCGTTGTAACGTAGCCAACCTTCTTCTCTTCAACTTGGTTGGCTTCATCACTCGTTGCAGTAGCTGCCTGCCGAGCAGTCTTGTATCTTCCTGCTCTGCCACCAATTTGTTTGATTTCGGATGTCGTCAGCGTACGATACTGTGTACCGTCGTGCTTCATTGACGTCTCAAAGATGACGCGTTTGATCTCCAGGTTGAGGCCCATGCCGATGGCATCGCTAGCCACCAAGAAATCGTAGTCATTGTTGGGATCGTTGAACAGAGCTGCCTGCTGCGCACGGGTCTCAGGTGGCAGTGAACCGTAGACAATCGCGCATCGACGGCCGGTTGTCTCCTCGATGGCGTTCTTCAGACCGTGAAGGTTGACACGCGTGAAAGCCACAACGGCATCGCCCTTTTCCAGATTGGAAAGATCGTTGCCGAGACTCTTCTCCATCGTTTGCAACGGACTGAGTCTTTCATACCGATGAACAATGCACTTATCGCCGATACTTGAGCAGATGGACTTGATGAGGTCGACAACTCGTTCTTCGCCACAGAGATGGACTTCTTTCGCCATGACGCCGAGGAGTGCCTGAGTCCACGCCCACCCTCGCTCATCATGACCAATCATCTGAATCTCGTCTATAACCGCCACATCAACAATTCGATTCAGAGGCGTCATCTCGACGGTGCAGCTGATGAAGTAATTATCGGCGTCCGGTATGCGCTGCTCCTCGCCTGTGATCATGGCGCAAGGCTTCCCATTGGCCTGGAACCGAGAGTAGATCTCGTGGGCCAGGAGACGAAGAGGCCCTCCATAAATACCGGACTTGGAGTTCATCAGAGCCTGCAACGCCCGATATGTCTTTCCAGAGTTCGTCGGTCCGACGTGCAAGTGAATTGTGCGCTGCATGGCTCGTGTGGCGGGAAACCACTCCATGGGATACCGCAAATCAGCCAACTTCCTCTGCCGCGCCGTCGAGTGTGTCAGTTTCGATCGCAGCATGAAGCTCTGGAACGAGTATCGCAGCTCTGCCGTCAGGCCCTTGACGTCGCCACGGATGAAGGCGTTTCGTAGGGACCAGAACAACGGGTTCTCCTTGCGTAATGTTGCACCCTTGTTGGCCAAGCCGATGGCTTTTTGTATGGTGTCGCGGAATAGGGCGATTTCGTTATTGAGGCCATACTCGCTTCGGACCCCAAAGTTTCGGTACTCGGTATTGGTCTCTGACCAACGTCCCATGTTGTCAACGACGACGTTGAACTGAGTGAGAATCATGTTCCTGAAGACGTCGTATTTGGATGTTTTGCGGTCGGGAGGTGAGTATTTCCTGGTAGAATACCTTTCAAGTGTCGCCTGCAAGGTACAATGGTCAGGCTGTGTCCGGTAAGTTGAATAGGGAGGCAGAAGCTGCCGCGTACCTGGTAGGCGGACGGAGAGGATGTTGCGAAGCCATGGCCTGGCGCAAGACGTGTCGCCGCCGCGCAGAGCTTCGTGGCTCGCAAAACTGATCTCATGGTGGGCGAATTGCTGCGCAACAAACCATGGCTAATAACATGCAAAAAGCATGCCTGTTTGGGTATGTCAATGACAAGATCGTCTACGTGCTACCCTCCGTTCGCAGTCGTGCACCTATGCAGTGGGAGGAGCATGGTAGTCACTAACATCCATGAAGGCACTGGGAAATTTTGGGAACCGATAAGAGGTCTGGAATGCTTATCGCCATGACCCCTGATTCGCCCTTGGCAGGTGAACGTGGGTCGCCCCACTCCGACTTAGCGCCTCCGCCTCCGATTGCACCGTCCTCGTCGTCATCACGCATCCAGATCCCCAGGTCCCCAGGTTCCCACATTGCATTCTGCGACAGCGCCCATCACGCCGACTTCCGACCCGTCTACACCACCTACGAACGTACGCAACCTGCCGTCGCATCTCGAATATCGTTGCCTATTCCCCCTTCGGTGTATTGAAAAGGAATCGAAAGCATCTCAAGATAGGCCCCTTAGATCCTTTGGACACCCCAATACCTATCATCATGGCTTCTTCATCGACGCCTATCACCCCGTTGCTCTAGTAAGAAGACGGCCACGACCTTTCCCTCCCGGCTCGAATCTGCCCCCTCTGTTGGACACATTACTGACATGCCGTTGTCCTATAGCTCGTGCATAGCGCACAACAACACCATCCTCAGCGAATGCACCACATCGGCCGTATCGCAAACCTCTTCCCTCGCCTCCGTCATCCTCCCCAAAATCGAGCACAACACCCCCCAGAAGCTGACCTACACCCACGGCTCGCACCACATCCACTACATCGCTGAGGCGCCCTCCGATCACCCAGACCACCCCTCCGCCGGCGGCCTCACCTTCCTCGTCATCGCCGACGCCTCGCTGGGCCGCCGCATCCCCTTTGGTTTCCTCTTTGAGATCCGCCGCCGCTTCCTCGAGCAGTTCCCCGCCGAGACGACCGATTACGCCGAGCTGCCCAACTACGGCGCCGCCAGCTACAATGGCCAGCTCAAGAAGTTCATGGTCGACTTCGGCACCACCAACGGCGGCAAGGACGACGCAATCTCCAACGTCCAGCGCGAGATCGACGATGTCCGGGGCATCATGACGCGCAATATCGAGGGCTTGCTCGAGAGGGGCGAGCGCATCGACTTGCTCGTCGACAAGACGGACCGTCTCGGCGGCAGCGCGCGCGAGTTCCGCGTCCGCAGCCGCGGTCTCAAGAGAAAGATGTGGTGGAAGAACGTCAAGCTGATGGCGCTCCTCACGCTGGTCGTGGTGCTCATCGTACTCGCCATTGTGATTGCGGTGAAGAACTAAAAGCAAGCAGGACAACTGTTTTCGCCCAGTTCTAGGTTTGGAGAGTTTGGCTTCGAATTGGCTTCGTGTAGCGGGCACGGGGCTATGTACACATGAACGCGACGTGTTTCGATGGTGTAGAGTGCTGCTAGTCAAATTGGGCAAATGGTTTGGCTTGAAATGGCGAAACGGGAAACGCAACTTTTTTGGGGAAACAAAACGACGGAGGCTTTGAATTTTCGTTAAGAAGAAACCCTCGATGGGGGTACACTCAACCACACATCTCCTAAACTGTCACTTGTGGGTTCAGGAACCACATCGAAATACAAGTAAATTAATCAATTCATTTCCACTCATCACTCGTGTATGCCAATGCTTAGAACGCGGCATAGCGGCCCTTCTCTGAAGATAGATTCAGTATATCTTGAGTATATGATAATGGTAATGAGATAATGATTAGGAGGGTTGAGTAATCCTGTTCAGCTTCTATCATTTGAGCCGAACAATTTCAACGTACTGGGTAGCACATCCGAAGCCGAATATAAATCGGCAAGACAAAATCAGAAATGGTCCCACCAGAAATTGACAGAGAAGCGGCACGAGAGATAGATAATTCCAGGCAGTTCATGACCAGACATCCATAGCCCATTCAAAGCCAAATCTCATCGATCCATATTCCATGCCGATGCTCTCTAGTATGTACACTTTTGTCCTGGAGAGGCCAGTATAACCTAGTGGTACCTGGCACACCACATCCCTTGAGCTTCACTGCACCTTTTGCCTTGTCTGTCCTCCCTTCGTTTCTTTTCTGGGCATTGCGTACTATCCTAGATGGATGTCTAGTCAGTTCAGACAACTAGAACTTCTCAGGGACCTCGTAATTCTCCTGCTCATCAGTCATGTCTTGAACACACAAGAGTCGCTGACTCTCGAGCATTACAGCTCTCAACCAACCACTCCGTAATCCTCCTGACTGCTCTTCCTTCCCCCCAATACTTTAAGACGGGTGATAGCCACCCTACGTAGGCCGTGACCATCAGCTTTGCGCGAGAAGCCATGATAAATGAAATTTGACCCAAGAAAATGAACAAGTCTGAAGCGGCATGAGGGTATTCGCCATCTATCAGACTGAACAGGAGCCGCCTCTAGCAGCCTCTCCTCCAAAGCACCTATTCACCTCGTCGGCTTCGGCAAAGACTAGGTATTCAGCTACACCAGCCTCACAAAATTGAGAGTACTGCTCTCCCCCACGAAGCTTCGATATGCATTGCTCGTCCAACCGAGTGTTGGAAAAAAAAAAAAGTGTAAAACTTGAACCACACTCAATCCCACTCCCATCACAGCTTCGGCGCAGAATTTCCCTCTGCCGTCAGCCTCCTCCGCCCATCCTGATAGACGTAGCCGTGCGCTACGGGACTGAGGCCCATGCCAGGCGCCAGGGTGACTGGCGGCCGCCGCAGCTTCTCCGTGAAGAAGACGGGATGCCGAATTGATGAGTTATGCTGCTGGTGGTGCTGGTGGTGCTGTTGATGCTGCTGATGATAGTGCTGCCGCTGCGCCATTCCTGTCTCAGCGACGGCGTGATGCCGAGGTAGTGATGTCGCGGCTGTTGCGGTGTGATGCGCCATGCCTAATGACGTCGCGGCGTTGGACATTGTATCTGCCGAGTAGCTCAAAAAAGAATTATGTGTAACTTCTATGGTTCGAAAACAGGAGGCTGTGAAAGCTTCACTTCAAGGTCGGCATCTTTTACAAGAGCGTATGTTGATTTGAGATTCTGTCGTCATGTTATTCCTTGCGGGGAAAGATTACACACGCGCAACTTTTACCCCCCCCCCCCCCTTGCTCGCCGAGCTCCAAGTCTTGGGGTAATGGCACCCGAGGCCACGGCACTTGCACCGTGAAGGGTGGGGGCGGGCCCCCCGGACTTTTGGAGCTCAACGGTGAGAAAGAGTCCGAGTCCCAAAGGCAAGGTATATAGCTCCCCTCCAATCCCATTCCCGTCACCAGCACATCAGCGCCCGTCTAGGTCGGCGATACCAGGTCAAGCTGTGTGCGAGGTGGTCGGATTGGTTAAAATTAACAAATATATGAAGTCAGAGTTCGGGTTGACTGAGGGGCGGGCTGTTCGAGTCCGGCCAGGGGCATGAATTATAAGACCAGTATTCCTCCTTCTTCCTTTCCTATTGGATTTTGGTCTAACATAAAGTCAATAGTCAATACTTTATAAAGGCAAAGTAAGTTAATGTTCCCGGGAAAGATGCATGTAGCGTTCGTGCAAGTGACTGTGTTAGCAGCCACTTGCTTTCTCATTAAGTAGGTAATCTATATAGATGGCATCCAAACGCCTCCAAGGCTTTTATGATGTCTCCTTCTTGGACTTCTTTTTACTCTTTGCCTTTTGCGACTCCTTGCCCTTCTTGATAGCCTCAACTAGAGACTCAACCTCCTTCACCTTCTCCGCCTCCTTGGCCTCCTTGGCCCTTTCCTCCTCCATCTTCTTCTCCAGCGCCCTGAGAGCAGCCGAGTCCTTTTCCGTCGTCTCAATGAGCTTATCGCTCTCCTCCCACAGCTTCTTGGCCACCTCGTCGTCCTCAATCTCCGTCCGCGCAAAGTCCACGATCCGGCACTCCTTGATCAGCTTGCCGGCGCCCGCGCGCACGAGACTAGACTCCATGGCCGCGTACAGGATCGCCTGCGCGCCCTGCTCCGGGCTCTTGAGGAAGAGCCACGGCAGCGGGTAGGCGGCAATGTAGGCGAACAGGCCGAGCAGCGAGCCCCGCGAAAGCCAGCGACGCATGCCCGGCGTGCGGCTGAAGCCCGGGTCGACGAAGAAGACGCGCGCGTTCATGGGCAGCTGGTCGGGCCGCTTGTAGTTGTCGAGGTGCTTCTGGAAGGCCTGGCCGAAGACCATGAGCGCCAGCTTGCTGCGCTTGTAGGCCGTACCCGGCGACCACGTCTTCTTGTCGAGGGGTTCCTTGAGGGACGGGGAGCCGATGTAGGATGAGCACGAGGCGAAGATGATGCGCACGTCGCGGTCCCAGGGCTGGGCTTTGATGGCGGGGCTGAGGATGGAGAGCAGGTGGAAGTTGGCGAGGTAGTTGACCATCCACGTCTCCTCGATGCCCTCGACCGTCTCCTTACGCTTAGCCGACGCCGGGGTGATTGTGGCAGCGGCGAGGATAATCATGTCGATCCGGCGCGGCGGGGAGTTGTCGATCCACTTCGTCGCAAACTTTCGGATGCTGTGCAGGGACGAGAGGTCGACATGCTCGGCGTAGATGAGCTCGTTGCCGGTCCGGGCGCGCACGTCGCCAATGTACTCGACCAGAAAGGGGTCCGACACGGGGGTGTGCGTGAGGAGGATGATTTGTGCGCCGCGGCTGCCGAGCTCTAGCACCGTCGTCGCTCCTATGCCCGACGTCCCGCCCGTTATCATGACTACCCTCCCGTGCATGTCTCGCTCGGCCGTGTTGGAAGCACCCGAGCTCCATAGCTTGATGAAGACGAGGACCGCTACCGCCGCGGCGGTCTTGAGTATGAACCACCAGTTCTCCGTCACATATGTCGGGAGGCCGGCTTCGGCGATGTAGCCAAAGTAATCGAGAGGCATTGCGAGCGAGTGACAGGGTTAAAGCTGGAGAAAAGGCGTGTCTATGGGCGACTGTCGAGCATGCTGGGGTAGCAATGCTTCGAAGGCGTATTCGTATGGGCGGACGACTCGGACTCGTTGCAGTGTCGTGGACAAGGTCGTTGAGAAAGCAGGCCGGTCAATGTGAGCGTTTGCCTTTGCGTGCGTAGGAAATATGCGTAAGTTGTTCGAGTGTGTGACGAAGCCGCCAGCTTGCCTTCTAGAACAGAGTGGAAAGCTGATGTGCCGCCAGGGGATTTCCGAATTGCGATGACAGGGGCGGTCCCACTCTGGCGGCAGCCCAGCGGCGGTGGCTTCCAGAATCCAGGGGCACTAATCGCAGAGTTTGCAGGGGATTGAGGCCGCCGCTGGCTGCCTCGCTGACATAATGGGGTTGGTCTCGCCCCCTTGTCGAAGAAGTGGAACTTCTTCATCAACCGTTCCTCCATCACCCTGCCCCTTCATCTCACCATATCATTGCACTAGCAGACGGCAACACTCGACATAACTCGAGTTCTCCTCCACGAGTGCACTTGCTGAGGAACAGGTGGTGGCAAGTGTGCTGTGCAAGTATTGCCGAAATGCGGCGACGGGTGGAAGACGACGAGGACTATGAAGAGGAAGAGGACGTACCGCTTCAACATCGACGACCCTTTGGCGCGGGAATCAGCCGCAAGCCCATCCAGTTCGTCAAGGCATCAGATCCGAACCTGAGTACTACACAGGCGGCCAATAAAACGAAAAGCGGCGCTTCCGTTGGCGACTTTTACATCAGCCTCGTGCTCGGCGACAAGAAGCAAGCGGAAGCCGAAAAGCCTTCGCCAGCAGCAGGGCAAGTATGCGCCGTGTGCGAGTTGCCCGTAGATAAAGACGACGCCGTGAGAGAGGTCGGCAATGACAATAACAAGCCCACGACAAGTAGACAAAAGCAGCATGAGTCTTCGATTGCTCACCAAGTCTGCCTCACACACTCACATCCCCCATCAGCACTAGATCGGTCGCGCATGGGCTTGACATATCTTTCATCCCATGGCTGGGACCCTGATTCACGCAAGGGGCTCGGTGCCGAAGAGCAAGGCATGCAGTATCCCCTGAAGACTCGACCAAAGGAGGACAAATACGGTTTGGGCCTCAAGATCCCAAAAGGCATCCAGGGAAGAATTGAAAAGAAGAAGCCGCAGATGCTGGATGCGAAGCAATGCAGAAAGAAGGCCGATGAAGACAAGAGAAAGGCTGAGAGGTTGCGAGAGATGTTTTACGCCAGCGAAGACATTGACAAATACCTGGGGACCGGTTCATAAGGGGATAGGAGTCATGAGAAGCAATGAGATACCCGTAATGGGGGACGAATAACGAAACTTGAGCCTATCAAAAACCGCTTTAATTTACA